GATGGATAGATGGATAGATGGATAGATGGATAGATGGATAGATGGATAGATGGATAGATGGATAGATGGATAGATGGATAGATGGATAGATGGATAGATGGATAGATGGATAGATAGATAGATGGATGGATGGATAGATGGATGGATGGATGGATGGATGGATAGATGGATGGATGGATGGATGGATGGATGGATGGATGGATGGATGGATGGATGGATGGATGGATGGATAGATAGATTGAGGCATGGATAGATAGATGGAAGGATGGATGGATTGAGGGTTGGATTGAGGGATGGACAGACGGACGAGTGGATGGATGGACGACGGATGAATGGTTGGATGGTAGACAGAATGCTTCCTTGAATAGTTGCGCAAGTGGTATCTTTTATTCGGTAAACTAATTTTATACATATATAAAATCAATGTATATATATATTTCCCTTATGCGCTCCTATACCATTTATCCAATTGCGATAAAACTTTTGCATAGGCCCGTAAGATTTTCTGAATTATTACACCCATTTTACAATATTCTGTTTTTGGCCCAAGGCCCTTAAGTCTTTTTATTTTTACTGTCATGCTGCCATGAGCTAAATATAATTTCCTTATGCTCTCCTATACCATTCATCCGATTGCGATAAGATTTTGGTAAATTGTGCGCAAACCCGCAAATTATTTTTTTTGTATTGGAGCTATATAATTTCAAACCGGGCTATTGCATGGGTGGATGGAATTTAATAAAATACAAGCGACATTTCAATTTGTGTGACATAATAATTAGGTTTCTGAATTAGTACAATCATTTACAATATGGTGTTTTGGGCCGGGGGCTTAATTTTAAAAAGAAAATTTTGTAAGCTATATAAATATAATTTCAAACAGAGCTGCTGCATGGATGGATCAATCGCTACATGTGTGTGGACTAAATTTTGAAAATCCATGCTTCTCACGTGCACAGCTAGCGTCGAAAAACCTTCTCATTTATTTGTGTACGCCAAGATGTAAAAAAAAAATATTTTCTAATTAAAAGTTACTTCAAAAACGTAATTAAAACACAAACACGTTTTTCTTTGAGTGGCAATGCAATGCATGCCGGGTTCTCGCTAGTTAAAAATAAAGCAGTAGCATTATTATAACTTAGCATTTAATTATGTGGCTGTAACATTTTTATAAATAAGAGTTGACTGTGCATTTATTGGATTAAAAATGTTGGTTCGACAACATACAATTTGAAAATGTTGTATTATTTATTAGAACATATGATGACAATGAAGAGTTCATTGCACTGATATCTTCCCCTTCAGCAACTTGTGTACCAGGACAAAGTAACTGCTCCGATGCTTGCGGTGTCATGAAATCTTCTGAAGCCTGCGGTGACACAACAACAACTCCATGCCCTGAACAGTGCTACTGCCCCAAAGGAATGCAACTAAATTCTTCCAATAACCAATCTTGTTTGGGTAGGTTGCATTAAATTACATTTTCATTGTAACAATTTTATTTTAGTTTTCTTTCCAAAACAGAAACATTATGTTGAATATTCTGACAGATCCGTACTTAAGAAGCCACCCATATCGTGAGCACCACACACACAAAAATATTTAAAACAATCAAATTTTCGACCCCTGTTGTATGCGATGTTTTTGGACACATCCGAATCGTACTTATAAATGAACTTTTTGAACACCCTAATCCCAAAGTTAACACACAAAAAAACAATAACAAAATCATTTTCAGACACTTAGAGCGTCAAAGTTTTAAAAAAATATGTGTCTCGGGTTTTCACTGCTGTCTGTTTTGTGATCGAAGGGGTTGCAAAACATGCACAGCGTCGCCCTGATGTTCCACCTTTCCATCAGCCAGGGAAATGAAAGGATGAAAGGGGCATTCATTACAGGTGCCATCAAAAGGGGCGCAAAATTTATCTTTAGAGAGACCTCAAATGTGAATTTAAGTATAAAATATCATGTACTTCCTCAAGAAAAAAGGCTCCAAAAATTGTATTTTTTCGTCTATCACGGATAATTCATAGTGGGTTTAGGGTTAGTATATTTGTCACAATGATACAGAGCCTGACCCACCTGAGACTCAGTCATTAAATACGGATATTTTTAATTGTCTTCGCTAGTGTGCTGGTAGTTGGGACCAAACATTTTTTTCAAATGTTCCTTTTAATAATTTGTTTTCTTAATAACCAGGACACCCATTATCGACAGCTGCAAACATCGCCTTGCATAATTTCCCGCTGTAGTATTCATCCAGCCATTGAATGCTTTACCTGTATCCAGGCCTGGGGAGAGAGAGGGGGGCTGCCCGAAATTTTGTTGTTGCCCTTGGAAATTAAATGGAAATAATTAAAACAAAGTATGGGGAAAACCTGAAAAAAACGCAACAAAATTTGAAAAGAAAAAGGGAGCGCGTGAAGGATTTCTTTTTTTTAAACCCGATCAAATTGTTAAAAACAATAACACTATTATGTCTAGCAAAACCACCTTTCTGCTTTGTTTGACATTAACAGCCTCGTTATTCAAGGTCATACTGGCGTCTCTAAAACTTGTCCCAAAAGATGTGGATAGTTAGGTTTGTTCTGATACTCTTCTAACATTTCAAAGTTTAAATGGAAAAAAAACAAAAACGACATTGTCTTTTCTTTAAAAGTTAAAAAAGAAAAAAAACAAAAACCACCTTGTCTTTTCTGGGGTTAAACCAAACCCCCCCCCCCCCCCAACGATGTTGCTTTCTTTTTCATTTATTTTGGAACAAGAGCTGTTGCATCATTAGCTCAGCATCTAAATCTATGCTTACATCCACAAAATGGGTGGTTAACAGTTACAAATTGATTAACATTATGTATTCGCATCAACAAACATGAGAGAAGCAATAGTCGCTACTATGTGGCTTTGTGAGAACTAGGATGAAGACTGTCATCTGCCAAAGGCAATGAAAGTCTGTTTGCGGCATCAATGGAATGAGTCTGTCAAGCGGTCCATCATTACGAAACAAATAATTGAAGTTGTACAATTCCTCGGTAAACGGAGGGTTTGGCTGTTCCAAACGCATTAGTGAAAAATATAATTTAACTTATCTGGGATTCATAGAGTTGTTGTCTCTCTGGGATTCAATTATAAATGAGTCTGTTTTGCAAGATACAGAGTCACAAGAAAAGGGATAACGAATTCAAGAAAATTATCTCAGTACCGATTCCTCACAACACTTTTGAAATACAGAAAAACTGAAAAGTAATTAACTTGTATTGTTAATTCCACGCTAGATTCACTTATGTGGAACAAAACAATTCTTTTGCATAATGTAATACCAGTAGAAATTTTTTAAAGGATTTTTACATTTTGTCGACACAAAGCAATAAAACAGGATAGAACATAGCAATGGTAAAAGATGAACATTGAATGAAACCGATACTCCACTATCAGATTATCGTGCTCTACTTCCTCATGTTCGTTTCAAGAAAAATCAAAATTACTTGCACATTAATCTCCCTCCGACATCTTGTAATGGAGATAAGTCGTTTGCTATCTGTTCATCAAGCAAAATATTTACATGACCAACTGAGTGCATAGGACATTCTAATTTGCTTTAACAGAGCAGGAAGGACTACAAATATTTATTGCTGGGCCCATGGTCGCCCGCAGAAAAATTTCTAGGGGGGGGGGGGAAGAAAATCGATTAACTTTCCAGGGGGGGGGCAAAAATGTTTTTAGTAATGTTTTAATGTAGCTTTAATTTACTGTAGCGTATTTGTATGGTGAACGAACGGACAGGACATCAACTTAGTCTTAGTTACTTTCTCTTTATTTTATTTTTTTTTTCTTTTTTTTTATACATTTTTTGTCTATTTTTTTTTAATTTCTTTTTTCCCATCAACCCGGGGGGGGGGGGAAGTACCCCTCTTGCCCCCCCCCCCCTTGCGGGTGCCCATGGCTGGGCCCCGTTTTCTGTAAACAAATCCTGCCAATGTTGGCTCTGAAAAGCGCTCATTCAGCAAGCTTACGCTTATTAAAAAAATATATAAGTTTTAAAATTTAAAAAATAACAAGTTTTAAAACAGGGGCGATTGGTATAATTTTGCAAGGCTCAGTATTAGTCTGATCTAGCAAAAACGATTGATTTTGATGGTTTGATTTACAATTTTGCCAGGAAACAGTCTCGGAAAGCAAATCAGACTATAAAAGTATTTACATTTCAAATAAAATAACTGTTATGAGCTTGTAATCAATCTACAATTAAATTCCTTGCTTATATATACTGTTCCATTATTGTTTACACACTTAGATTCATTATTGTTTCAATTACCTTTTACAGAATTACCTGTTCTATTTTAATGTATTTGCAATTACATTTGAACGTAATTAGTAATGTATGACAGTATTAATGTATGTGTCCACGTGTAGGTGAGAAGGCCTATTTTAAGTATTGCTCCAGCACTTAGTTATCCTTTAGTGGCACTGCCTTTATACGATAGTAGGCCTACCATATTGTACTTTTACCAAAAATAATAATTTTTATGTTTAACAACTTTTTTTAAAACTTGAAGTGAATAAATATTAAGAACCAAACAAGACGTTTGGAGCCATTTTTCATCTTGCCTGAGGCTGATAGGGTAGACCATTCTGGCACTTCTTTATTTTTAAAAAAAAAATGCTTTCTTCCAGAATGCAGTGATATGTTTTATGGAGAAAACTGTCAATACAAGAGTTCATGTAACGATCTGCACACAAAGTCGGTAAATCCAGTTAATGGTCTGTGTACTTGCTACTTAAACTGGACTTCGACGGATTGTACTGTAGATTTTAATGAGTGTAGCGTCAGTCCTTGCAATGCCACTAACTCCAACTGTGAAAACTTTGACGGTTCATATCTATGTAGATGTAGATATGGATATGAAAATGTCAATGCAACATTTTGCGATGGTAAGTTACAGCATATCTTGATCTTTATATTGATGTTTGGATAATATGATGAAATTTGATGTTGTTCAACGTTGTTTCGAGACATTAATTTAAATAAGTGGTGTGATATAAACCTAATTTTTACGCTGCCCTCATTAATTAGTCAGATTTGAGTAATAAAATAGTTCAACAAATTTGAGAAACAAAAGCAATGCAAGTATGTGTAGTAAATGTTTTAAACGTAGGCCTATTTGCTAGAGCACTTTCTTTGTTCACGGAAACTGACCAGTTTAATTCAAATTTATTTTCACAGTAAAACTTTTTTCTTTTTAAATTTTACCACCAACAGAGAGGCTTTAAACATTTACTTAAAATATATTAATTTTATTTGTAAAATGTGCTAGTTTTGCATAATTTCACACTTCACAACCGCAGTTTTTATGCAAGGTATCTTTAAATGTAAATTGTATTTATTAAGATAAGATAAGAAAATATTATTTGATTGATCCAAACAGATGGAAATGTTTTTTGATTGCATTGTACATTTTCAGCACATACATAAAACAATTTGAACACGAGAAATCTACATTTAATTATTTCCCTAGTAAAAAAACCCCAGCCATTTAGTGAATTCTCTTAGCCATATCAGGACCTTAGTAGTTCTCATTAAGATTTGTGAGCACGCTTGTAAATTCGGACAGATTGGGGAACAAACTAATTTTTAAATCTTTCTGTCCTCGCCTTGAAAGAAAGAACTCGCCCCGAACGGGCCGATCCTAAGTATATGTGATGAAGAGGATGGGATGTATCATCCAAAATTTGTTTGGTTTAGCAATAAATAACATCTTTCTTCAAATAATATATCAGTTAATATATCAATACGCCAAATTACATCAGTGGCATTTTTATTGACATTAGAAGATGAGCATGCAGTTTACCAATTAATAAATATATATTCATTAAAAAAAAACTGTTAATGGAAAAAAAAACATTGTTCTTTAACTTATCAAACTGTATGGCATATATTTAAATGATACTTTTACAACAAAACTCAAAATAACAATAAACCCGTTTTGAAATATAGACCCACTTATAGTTTGGAAATTTAAATAAGTATATTTAGTTTATTACACAGAAGACGTAGCCTAAACTATTTTATACAACATAAAAATTAAAACGAAATTTCATAAAGTTTTAAAAGTTTATTCATATTGGTTTTCAATCAATTTTAATTTTCTATTTTTAATCATAGTGTCCTTGTTACTATAGACTATATCCATGGGCGCCCGCAGAAAACTTCGATTAACTTTCCAGGGGGGGGGGGGCAAAAAATTGTTAGTAATGTTTTAATATAGTTTTAATTTACTGTAACGTATTTGTATGGTGAACGAACGGACAGGTCATCAGCTTAATTACTTTCTCTTTATTTTATCTTTACTTTAATAAATGTTTTGTCTATTTTTGCCTAAATTTTTTTTATCCAATCAATCCAGGGGGGGGGGGGAGCAAGTGCCCCACCTTGCCACTACCTGCGGGCGCCCATGACTATACCTGAACATTATTCCCGATTCAAACGATATGATTATCTCCATAAAAAATTAATAATTGCAATTCTAACAGTGTTTGCATTATTATATTTTAAAGTTATTGCTATTTATGGAAAAATATTACTATTGTGCTTTTAAAGCTTTGTCTCTAGCTTGAATTCTAAAACAATGTTTTACAGAGTGTGGAAAGACTTTGACAAGCCCCTCAGGCAGCATATCTTCACCTTATTATTATGATTATAATAGTTTTTATAATCAGGGTAATAGTGAAGTTTGTTCCTGGACAGTCAGTGTGGAAAGTGGACTCGTGATAGATTTAAGGTAAATTAAAATTTCATAAATAATGCCTTTTACTCTTAGAGCCTACACATGTTTGATTTAATATGACAACGAATCTTTTTAGAAATAATAAGAGCGCTGCCACTCTTAATATCATTAAGAATACGTAGCCAGCACTAACATAGGTTACTCTTTTCCTAGAAGTTTTTTTTATTTGCATCAAAATGTGTAGTTATTGCTGGTTTATTTTTAAGATTTTCTAATTCTTTTCTTTTAAACTTTTTGGATATTTAACTGGGGATGTTTTTTTTTTTTTTTTTTAAAATGCATATATTTAAAAAAAAACACAAAATGCCGGGAGTGGTCAAGGAAGGCTTAATTAATACCAAGGTCCTACCTTAGGCTAACAGATTCAACTTCAACTGAACTTGGCAAGTATGTGTCTTGACGTTTTCAGCAACGTTGCCTATGGCTTCAATATTATTGTGATCACAGAACCCTTCTCTCAAGTGTTAAGCCAAGATGTGTGCACAATAAACACAGGCAGCCCTGGAAATAATACACCGATTCTTATTTAATAAGTCCATCGGTCAACAACACCGAGGCAATACAACATCCCAGCTCACTTCATAACTTCGAGGACTCAGTCACCCGTGGCTACCATACATCAACTAATTCAACTAACCATCGACTCCTTGTGTACTAAAATCTCAACTATTGTCAACCCTAAATCGAGTGAGAAGCAACTGCTTTGAACTCTAACTCAACACTATATAAACGCGTTATGCTTTTGAATTCACACACCTTAAATTCCATCCCCTTGTTTATTATCATTTTCCTGTAATCCAATGACAATCAGCAACAATCATACCCCTAGCCAACGGTAACAAGAGTTCACCATAACAAAGGTGATTCTCATACCATTGACTTTGATCCCAAATTAGATTTTACAAATTGATATATTTCATAACATTGACAATAATAAAAAATAATAATACATATATTTATTTTAATTATTTTGTTTTTGCAATCTAGACCGATTATTAAGCTTACATTCTTGATTTCAAATTACGTACTTAGTTTGTTTGTTTTTTTTACTTACTTATTATTAACCTCAAAGATTTTCAGCGTTCTACCTGTACAGCGGTTATCACCTTCCCCATGGCTATGTAACGATTTACGATGGTTCAAATGTAACAGCACCACTACTAGGACGATTTGATGGACTTACCTACCACTGGGGAATTTTACCTCTTAATGAAATAAGATCATCTGGAAATATGATGCACATTGTTCGCAGCACAGAAGAAAATAATTATTACTATCAATTTTTTTCTGCTACTTACACATCACATGGTAAGAACAAAATGTTTGTTAAAACAAAAAGACATTGTTAAAATAAAAAGACATTGTTAAAATAAAAAGACATTGTTATAATAAAAAGACATTTATTTTAACTACAGTAATGTGTGACGTAGGTTTTTGATGAATCAAAGGGGGAAAAAAGAGATTTAAATAATAATTTGACGCTAACTAAATTTTTGCTTGAATGAAAAAAATATATTTATTTGACAAGAAAAAAAGTGTCTGCATGGTAGAACAATGATCCTGTAAAGAAGTCAGTAGGGTTTCTCTGTCTGGATCCCGCAAGATTTTTAGAAAACCAAAAGCTTCCCCGTAAATTTTACCATCCAGGGAAATCATGAGTCCACACTTTTCATTTATAACCTGTATTTTTTTTTTTTTTAAAGTATTTTTCAATTCCATAAATTTACAATTTGTCACTATAAACCAGGGCCCGTACATTTAGTTAATTACGCTGAATTACTAAGCCCAGTAGCTCTTTAGATTGTNCTGGATCCCGCAAGATTTTTAGAAAACCAAAAGCTTCCCCGTAAATTTTACCATCCAGGGAAATCATGAGTCCACACTTTTCATTTATAACCTGTATTTTTTTTTTTTTTAAGTATTTTTCAATTCCATAAATTTACAATTTGTCACTATAAACCAGGGCCCGTACATTTAGTTAATTACGCTGAATTACTAAGCCCAGTAGCTCTTTAGATTGTCATTGCGTTTTCAAGTAACGCCCACATTTATATATAAAGAAAAAGGAACCTTATTACGATTTATTATCAAAAGGCTTTAAGATAGGGTAATACTTTGGAATGAAAATATTTTTAAACTTAATTTTCAAATATTATTTTTCTGACGGTATACTTAACTCAGTGTTATTGGTGACATATTTAATGGCATGATTGTAATACTAACTCAAACTTTAAGACAAAGTTAAAAAAGAAAACATTTTTAAAATAAATATTTCTCATAGTCCAATGTTTCAGGCGGCGACCCCACATATATCCTTCGCGACACCGTTTGCGGTCCCCTCCCAAGGGCTTAAAATTCATGCTCTAATAACCTTATTATCCCAAGACTTCGTGTGTCAAATTACTTATGTAATGCTTCATATTAACTTTTTTTTAAATATCGTCCCAAACCAACATAGTACACAAAAAAATATAACGCATTTATTATCATTCCAATTTATTTATTTTGTATTCAAAATAAACCCCTTCATATCAGTTCTTAGAAACTTTTGCTTGCAAACGTTTATTGACGGGTTTAAAACTTGAATTAGCGATCTATAAAAGATACATTACTTTTAAAATGTTGAATAGTTTTTTTTACTACAGACTGGTATATCCAACTTGTGCATAGAGGCCGACCGAAAGTGATTTTCTGATTTCGGCCGAAGCCGAAAATAGGCCGAAAGTTTAAAATGACTTTCGGCCGAAACCGAAAAAAGGCCGAAAGTTAAAAATGAATTTTGGCCGAAACCGAAGCCGAAACCGATTCCGAAAATGAAATATTTAGATATTTTGAAATTCGTTCCCGCATACTTTTTGCATACATCGAAAATGATGTGGGAAAGTATAAATATTTACATTCTTTTTATAAAAATGAGATAATTGTGAATATTAATAAATAAACATCTCTCTTCTCTTCTTCTTATATTTGAGGGCCCCACGATCAATTTGTTGATCATTCCGGCTCCTGGTTTAAATTCAGAGTTTGCCTAATATAGGGGTCTCAAACTCGCGGCCCGCGAGCCATTTGTGACCCGCAAGACGATATTTTGCGACCCGCTACATGACAGAAAAGTTTAGTGTAAATGCGCCGGCCGGTTTCCCCCATTCTCATAGCTATAACGTGACTCTCCGCGACGGTGTCAGTCGAATCTCACCGACTAGTCTAATTCTGTTGTTTGTTTTTTTTGTAATGTTTCTATATATTTTTTAATGCAACAGTGAGTAGGTGGATGAAAGTGAATCTTAGTTCTTGGGAACCCTTAATGATTTTATTGTTATTTATAAAGGTTGAGCAGATTGTAACAGTTGTAATCGCTTTTTGTGGATTACTTGATGCGGCCCACTCTCATTCAGACACTACATCCTGCGCCCCCCCCCCCCTTGTGATTTGAGTTTGAGACCCTTGATCTAATGAATACTTTGGATTTTACCATTTTAATATAAAAGTAATTTAAATTGCGTTACAATTTTTTTTATTAGTATGTTAGGAGAAAATTTGGCAAAAATTGAGGT